TAATTCACAAATGCACACTTGCATTGCCTACTAAGAGAAAGTTAGTACCGGTAGTGATCGGGTTAAGCCTCTCCCTAAAAAAAGTATTCAAAGCATCGTGCTGTATAAATTAAATGACTTCATCAAAACACAGTACCAAAAAAATTTTTGTTTGTTTTTATTCCGGGTCATCTAAATTTCTCTAACTTATTTTTCATGTATTCTTTTTTAATGCTTTTAATAATTTTATTGTATTCTTCTTTGTTCCATCAACTTCCTTATGGTAAGGTCTGGTTGTCAATAGTTTGCCAAATAGAAATATTTACTTTAGATATTACAATTATATTTTCATGTATATTTGTATCAACCTTTTTCAATTTTTTTTTTCCATTCAGATTACATTAGATCTTTCAGTCTTAAATAAAAATGTAGAGGTTCTTAGGAATATGTTGTGCATATGCACTTTATAAGTTTGTGAATAATTTGGTGACTATAATGAAATCAGCAAGCCAGTTTGTCTGACATTGCCAAAATCCAAGTTTTTTGGAGTGTAGTTCAAAATGTTAACATGCTAATTAATGCTACACAAAAAAAAGGAAAACCAATTTTAATACTTGGAATGAGACTTGATCTTTGTCTTAAAAGTTAAACATAAGAAAACGTACCTTTGGAATTTTTGTGATTATTTTGTGTTAACTATATTAAGAACAAGTGTCAATATTTTTGGTATTCTCTACAAACTCAATAGACTTCAAAACATCAGATTTAAATTTATTTAAGTCATTAACAATTTCCCAAACTTTCCACATGTCCCCCAGTGGGACAGTGGTAAGTCTATGGATTTACTATGCTAAAATCAGAAATTCGATTCCCTTGGTGGGCACAGCAGATAGCCCAATGTGGCTTTGCTATAAAACACACACACACACACACAAACTTTCCACAATCAACCTGAAAGGATGTACATTTTGAAACATTGATATCAAAGCTAGCAATATGTTAACATCATATTTAGACCTAAGTAAAACTTATTTGTGAGTTGCCATTCTATAAATAATATATATTACTCTTTTCCATATTTTTATTTATAAAGTATTGTTAGTATTTTTACAATGCTGAGGTGAAATATATTCTAATATAGAAAAATATATTATCAGTGTTGTTATAAGTGACCTTGTAACTTGCGTTTATTGTGAATGACAATGGTTTCGTTCAAAACGTTTTTGCATCTGCTACTGGCAGGTCAAACTAGACTGTGAAAAACAGAGCCAGGTTTGTTATCAGCAGTCTAGAGGCTTCAGTGAGTTTAGTGTAATACCATTTTACCTCTGTAATGTACTAATAACTTTCATGTTGCTGATGGAACTCTCATTACATGGTTTGCAGTGGGAATAGTTTTTTTATACACATTGATGAGATTTTGGTGTCTTGTTATGTTTCAGGCCATAGTTGAAAACTTGGGTATGATATTTCAACACTTATAATAAACAGTTCTGAAACTGAAATCAGTTCAATGTTCTTTTCTGCAACTATAGGTGGGATCTCACAGACATATAGTGAGTAGAGATGGGGAGGTTTCAGTTTCTAGTAAGATAAAACCAGTAATAGATTGGCCTGAACCTTTAAATGACAAGAAAAGCCAAAGGTTTCTTAGCCTTGTATCTTACTCAAGATGTTTTGTGGACAATTTTTATATAATAGCAGCTCCAGTTTCAGCATTAACTAATGACAACTTCCATTTCAGATGGACTGACTATTCCACAGTCATTCAAGTTGAAGGAGAGATATTCCATTAATTTTGTGTACAGCTGTCACTTGGAGCACTGCTGTCACAAGTACACAATGTCGTGGAATTTGGTATAGCATAGATAAGTTGAAAGTTAATGTCCACTAAATGCCATTACTGCATGACAAAGAAAGAACTGTTTGCAGTCGTAGTGTCCTTTAAAAATTGTCATCACCATTTGTGTGGTGGAGGATTTATAACTCGAGTAGATCATACATCGTTAACATGGCAGATGATCTTTGTCGAATTGGAAGGTACTGTTACACATTTGATCACAATGTTGCGGGAGTACAGATTTATTGGACAAGACTGGCAGCATAAATTCTGGTGGGCATTCTTATTAGCAAGTAAGAGCTCATTTAGTGTGTCCGGATCCTTGCCATAAGATCTAAAGTCTTAGCAATGACAACAAACCATGAATTCTTGAATATTCCACTAATGAGTGGATATTAAATATGATGAAGGAGAAACTGTGAGAAGAACTAGTAAAGGACTCTGATGCACTTGATCAGTACTTGATTCTGTTTCAGATCAATGAATGCAGTATAGATGCATGTAATCTCTGTCAGTTGTTTGACCAACTAGAGGTTTTGGAGGTAGTGTTATACAATTGTTACAACCTGTGTAAGCAAGGTACCTAACTTGTGATGCAGCTAGTGGTTGCAAAATCTTTTGAGACCCAAAATCCACTGAACATTACATGGTACACTAATCAGAGGACACCAGGAAGTATTGAATATTACAACTAACCTGAAGGGATGCTTTTACCAGCCCCATTCTCTTAGAAGTATAGTCCAATGCTATAAAAATTACACTCCCTGTGCAACTAAGAGAAAGAATTGCCTGTGCCAGGAAAACCGCTGTCAGCAAGTTGTAGGTTTTTCATTCCAAAAAATATGCCTAGGTATTGCTGAACCCTTCCCAGAAACTGGTCATGGTATTTTGTTAATCTTGGTAGTAGTGGATTAGTTCATTAAATGGGTTGAAACATATGCACTGGCTGATACAATGACTCAAACAATTGATAACTTACTTTGGGGAACCAGAGAAAATCCTTATTGATCAAGGAGAAAACTTCAGCAGTCATCTGTTTGCCAAGAAGGTACTGATTGTGGTGGAGAATCATTCTTCACTTAGTCATTTGTAGTTTGGTTGTTTGGCTGACTGGACCATCCAAACTATAAATGGTATATTTTCTAAGTTTGTGAGATCAGATCAAACTGACTGGATTGATCACCTGCCATATGTATTAATGGCATACTGTGCAACAGAACAGCAGTATACTTGCTGTTCTAAGTTTGTGAAATCAGATCAAACTGACTGGAATGATCACCTGCCATATTTATTAATGGCATGCTGTGCAATATAACAGCAGAGTACTTGCTGTGTTTGAACCTTTTACTGTTTGGATGTAAAGTTACACTCCCAGTAGGTTTTATATATGATCCCCACTGACTGCAGAACTGCCTGAATGTGAACAAGAATAGGTGGAATGATTCTGTTCCACATTAATTGACTTGTTTTATTTTGCTGTTTTGTGCATAAATAAAGTTTGTTTTTGTCGCCTTTACATCAAGTCTTGTCTGTTTTCATTTATTACTCCTACAACAAAATACTAGCCTGTCATTAGGTATGCCGAGTAAATAAATGTTCAGTTATTGCAAAAATTGGGTAATTGTGCTATTTTTATCCTCAGAATATCACTGCACTTATCAAATTTCAGTTGTCATATTTACACAAATGACTGAAAGTAAAACAAAAGTGGAAAATGATTTTGATAACACTGTTAATTCTGTATATATCAAGCATACATTTTTGTCTGTAAAATGTCATTAATAATGGGTTTCTTCTATGTAGTTTATACTTTAACTACATACAGTTGTAAATGGAACTAGGCTTCTACACTAGTCAAATTGCCAAATACCCCATATTTATCACTGTTTGTTAACTGCAACAGTAATCATTTTTATGTACACAGATGTGTAAATGCAGAATTGTTCTGGTAAAGCACTATAGAGTATATCATAAGGCTTATGAAAGTTTTAACTGGTTCTTTAATACACTAAATATGAATTAACATTTGCATTGTGTATATTCAAACAGTTTGTTATTAGTAATGAATAATTATTTTCTTATTCAGGAATAGAAGCTTTCTCCCATTTGTGAGTGTCATGAGTGTAATACAGCGAGAAATGGGACAAAGAAAGGGGCCAACTCCAGTAGGCTACAAGAAACGAGAAATGTTTTCTTCACCTGATATCAATTCTTCCACCACTAAACCTTCTCAGCAAATTTTTAGAGAGTCACAAATTGATTACTTTGATTTTACCTCCTAATTTTGGCTAAGTACACAATACAGTAACAGCTTCAATAAAGTTATCAGGTGCTTGCAGGGCCACTGCAAGATTCACACCAACCACATTTTTTAATGTGACCTTGTACAACTCAGTGCAACTCTTGTAATATGCCATACAAAAATGGTATCAGCTTTTAATGAAGACAAGCATGAGTTAGCATATTACTGTATGAATGCCCATTAAAATACCATTAATATGAACCTTAAATTTATCCATTGGCATCATATTTATTTATCAGTATTTGCAGTGTTACTAAAAGGATGAAGTGTCATTAAGATGAGCTAAACTGTTAAGAAATCTTTGAATTTAATAGCCATGGAAGAGCTGAATTATTGGGAATTGGTAAACCCTCACTTAATCATTTTTTTGGAAATAATGACTAACACAATTTAATTTACATTAATAATCCATCAGATTGTTTTTATGGATTTACTGAGTCGTTCTCCTTTAAAAAAGTATTAAAGTTGCAGTAATTGCATCCATATTAAAACTTAAAGGAAAATTAAGAATGGGAGTGTTATTAATTTGTGTATTTTACATACATATATTGTAATGAATAGGCATAAATTTATAAACTTGAAAAAATATTTTCAAATTATATAAACACACACATACATGCTTAAACATCTTTACATTAAGTTTTCCTCAGAGGTAAATTATAAATGCTAATAATAACTGGTCTTATTAGCTTATCTTGTTAGCAATTAATACATGTTAGTAGACCACAAGTAATTTTAAATAATTGAACCTACATGTGAAACAGGTAACTAACAATTATAGCCCAAAAAATGAAAACAAATAATTCTTCTACAATTTTCTCATGTTTGTTTGAACACAGATATTCTTGCAACAAATTTTCAATGAAAAAATACAATTACATGTGTAGCAGCATAGCAATGAAATAAAAATATTAATGTTATATCTATGCTCCTGTGTTTCTTTTTTGGGCATGCCACTGAGTATTCAGGCGTTTTACTTGGCAGTTAGCTGGAGTTTCTCAAAACAGCTTGTATAGAGTGACAGTAGTTCAATGTATGTAACAATGTCAGATGTTGGTTTTGAATTGAGATTAAGCTACTCGCATTTTTTTACACTGGTTTGGCTGTTGTATAGGACATTCAAAAGAAAATGGTGTTTTTCGTTTTTAAAACATGAGAATATAGTAAACAGAATAATAACCATATTACAACACATCATTTCAGTAGTAAACATGCATTTGTGTTTGTTTTTCAAATTATAATCATAGACTTGACAGCTTTAAATATACATGGATTCACTAAATGTTACAACAGGTTTTACTCGCACGAAAAAACAAGAAGAAAGTACATTTTTACATATGAGACATACATATCAGCAACTTTCAATATTGTTATTCCATTTGTTGTATGATGTCTAGTTCAACAGGAAGTTCATCTTAAGTGTCAAACCAGAAGCATCAGTGCATAAAAGTAAATGAGATATTTAGATATTTAGTTGTATTTAGAAAAATAATGTCTAACTAGATTTCAAAAGATTTGAAATAATATTCCACACTATTTCATCATTTTTAGTTTTACATGCAATAAACTAACTAAAAATTTCTGAGAGTATGTTAATGTCCATAGATGATTAAAAAAAAGTTATAGACACATAATTATAGATTTACTCAACTACAACATAAGACATTGCTGATTTTCATGAGTAATTTTTGTCTTTGTTAGTAACTTAAAAAAAAGTGTGCATTCAGGAACAGTGTGACATGCAAAACCAAGTAATCCTCACATGACTTTTTTGCCATAGCACTAGAACACAATCTTTCTCCAGAAAAAGTTGAAAACTTTTTTTTTCAGTTATTCCAATGCTTGAATACTGCTTTTTATAGAAAATATATTTAACCAAGCAACACATTTCTCTGTGATATGTGAGATTGAAGCTTTTGAAGGCTTTTAATATTATCATATAATGCATTTATATGCATGAAAATGATGCTTGTCCCAAATGTAGTTCTTTGAAATGCAATGAAAATTTTAATTTTATAGTCATGTAGCCAAAGAAAGTAATACCACATATTTGGATATGAATAATGAAATCAACATAAATGTAATATTTTGCCATTTAAATAGTGAAGATGTAAATGGGAAAATTAATTATATAAATCTTATAGTTGACTTTTAAAATTTTATTTTTTACCAAGAATACATGATAAGATTTGTCTTGCAGTGTGACAAAATAACTTGATTGTGGCATTAAAGGAGTCCTTTGGTTTTAAGTAAAATTGATGAAGAGAAGTTTCACATTCATTATTATACTTGTTTTTAATTCTTTAAAGATGATACAACTGCCTAAAGTTTTGTACTTTAGATGTGATCTTTTTATAGTAATGTAATTTTGGAAATCTGTCTGACTTTTGCCTAAATTGAGAAAGTATTTTTAATGAGATTGTTGCAGTTGGTTAATTTTTTAAACTTCTAGGTATGATACTATAAAAAATTCATTAACACTAATTATTTTAGTGTATTTTAAGAAGGACAGAAGTAGAAAATAAGTTTTTTCTACTGTTATCCAAAATGTAGTAGACATTACTGTTAAAGTTTAAGTCTCCTAAATACATGTTTTTTTTGTTTTATATATATATATATACACACACACACACACACAATGATAACTTATTGTTTGTTATGTTCATTCTGATTTTTTAGGATGATGAAAGTTGTAGCATCTAAGAATAACCAGAAAGGATGGCTGAATGTGTTATGATTTTTGTAGATGAAACATGACAGTTAGAAAGTGCCATGTGAAGTTGCCAAAATGGAATACACATTTAACTGGTTCCTGTTTAGTTATTTTGAAGTTTTTAAGTTATGTACAGTAATGTTTTGTGAAGAATAGCTATATTGGAAACATGAATATGAGCTTTTTTCTACAAGATCAAACTGGGATGAATACAGTTTGAGTCTTGATTGCATGCAAATAAATTAAGTTTTGCTTTGGTCAAGAGTTTTAAATCTTGTCTCTGTCAATCATAAGGATATTAACGTGTCAGAAGTGTGATACATCCTCTGGTTAACTTGGTTAACAATAATTAACATCTATGGGAATGCTGAAGTATCTCCAGAAGGTTTGATAAAAGTTACAGCATATACATCAGGAATCAAATTATGACTGATCCTTTAGATAGCTAGGATCTAGTAATGTAAACTTGTACTTTAAATATATTGGTAGATGAGCTTGTTTATTATTAACAGTTGTGATCCCTATAGGTACATTTGGTTTAGCATTTTGGCTTATAAATAAATGCTAACTAACCATAGCAGTGATTGACTTTTTCCAGTGAACAAATTTTTACAGTGCCTAAAGTACTGTCAGGATGATTGGAGAATACATCATTCTGTGCTTTAACCTAACAGGTACAGCTTGATGTGTATTTGGTTTTTGAGGAAAGAGATGTAGGTATGCAGCACTTTTTGATAAGGTGAAATTTATGTGATTCAGTTGAGTAATCAGCTCTTTTAAAGTTTTTATAGCCATTAGCTTTTCATTCCTGCATTGACCAGTAGCAGCACACCCTTGTTTAGGCATGTCTATTATGGCCTTCAGCAATTCTGGCTGCTCCTCTTTTAAAGTAGTCTGCCAAAACTATCATGCTTGTTCAACATGGTTTTTAACTGTGAACATTGATCAATAGCTTCTACAAAACATTCCTTTTTATTTTTATGGAATTTTTGCTTCTTTTATTTTTATAATAATTTTGTCATTAATAGAGAATGGTGCCAATCACCATTTTTTGGTTTTGTTTTTTCTGTTGAAATGCAATATTTTTTCAAGTGTTATCTTGGACTTGGCATTGACTTTTCTGCTTTTTGTGTACAATTGTCCTTCATCAGCCTTTGATTTTTCAGATTCGGCAGCAGCTTTCAGCCAATATTAAGCTTGTGGTATTTAGTAATAATATTTAAAATTGGGGTATGAATTCACAACATAAAGTACAGGATAATAACTATTTGTAAAGGGGGGTCACATAATGGGGAAGTGAGTCACTGAAACTATAAGGTGACCCATCATGTTAAATTTCATAATACCCCCCTTGAAGTAAAAAAATCATATTAAAAAGTGCTTTCTCTCAAAAGCTAAAATTGTAACATTACCCCACCCACCCCCTAACTCTGGATTAAAGTGCCACTGAAACATCAAATTTCACCTGAAAATATCAGATTAAGCACATTGGCTTCAGCAATTGATAATACGTTATTTAAGGTCGACCCAGTAAAGAGCATGTTTCATTCGTGAGTTGAATATCTGTATATCTAATATAAGTTGGGAAATATATTAGCATGAACGTAACATAATAGCTGATACAAAATTGATCCTTTCATATTTTAAAAGCAGAATTTCATATGACATCTATATATAAAAAAGCCACTATGTGTTGTAACTTTCAAATTGCCTCGGTGGTTAGACAGCTCGAACCTTAAGTGGAAGTCTCGCTTTCAAATTTCAGTACAGTTGGGATTTTTTATAATTCCTTTTAAATGAGTGATTGTGTTTAGAAGAATCTCTTTCAAAAACACAAATACTATGATATTTTTAAATTAATGTGTGTTAACACTGTATACCAAAGTGGCTCAGTGGTTACAGTACTCGATTCTCACATGTTCAAGTATCGTGTTAAAACCCAATCGAATCAGTATTTCATAATGATCATATTTACAGCAAGTTTTTAAGTACCATTATAGATTAAATCAGAAATTTGAGATGTTGGTCAAAATTCGATAAAAGATGGCATGCTTACAGCATCGAGCCACTTCAGCTTTTCCTTTGAATTGAACACTTCTAACACAATGTATGAAGTAAATTATAAACCAAAAATAGTTTAGAAACAAAAAGTAGATGAATGGCACTACAAAATTAAGAAAGCTTAGCAAAATTAAGATAACTGAAGCATAGAAAAACAATTGGCATGTTCAAATATAGCTCCTGAAGAAACATAAAAACAAATTGATGCTGATAAACATTAGCTTGCTTGGGCAGTTATCTGTTCAAGTATGATGAAATCCCAGTGTTCTGCAATTATGGGCAGTAAGTGAAACTAGCAGTATTGCTAGGGTTTTGCCCATCATGGACTAGACAAACAGATCTGAAATTGCTAGTGGAGAAATGTGCAAACTTATTGGCTGAATATGCCAATATATTTATGGGATCACATAGCTAATTAGGTCAAACAACAGTCACCTAACATCAAAGATACAGGTGATGCATATCCCTCAACTGCTGTGTAGGCTTTCCTGGAGTAGCAGAGATATAGCCAGCAATGAAATACAGTAGAAAATAAAAGACTAGATCAAACAGACTTCAAAGAATGCTTGATCATTTCCAGTGAACAGATGATGTGGTTGCATTAGACCTGGTATCTGGATACTGGCAAGTCAAGCTGGATGACAAAAGCAGACCCAAGACTACTTGTACATCAAACATACTTCAAAGAATGCTTGGTCATTTCCAGTGAACAGATGATGTGGTTGCATAAGACCTGGTATCTGGATACTGGCAAGTCAAGCTGGATGACAAAAGCAGACCCAAGACTAATTGTTACATGAGAGATGGCTTTTATGAGTTTTATGTCATACTAGGGCTGCAATGGGAGTATTTAGTTGCATGTTCAAGTCAGTGACTGAGAAAATAAAAATGGTATTCCAACCAATAAAAAATTCAGGTTTAAGACTGAAACCAGAAAAATGGATCCTAATATAACTTCAGAGGTTCAAGGTTGTTCTCAACAAGTAACCAAGCAAGATGTCTGCAGTTTCCTTGGTTTTGCATTGTACTACTGAGTTTGTGGCCAACTTCTCCATGACGGTCTCACCATTAACAGTGTTCACAAAAGTTGAGATGCACTTCAGATGGAGTGAGGAATGTAAACAAGCATTCAAGTCCCTGAATCAT